AATAATAAACGTTCAATAATAAACAATTAAATTTAATGCACAGGTAAGTATTGTTATAAACAAAATTTAGTATATTATTTTAATAATATATGCGAATATGTATATACACCGAGCTGCTTTGTTTGCTGAACGCAGCTATATTATCAATCGCAATGCAAATCGCAATCTATAATGTGATTGGACAATCTTCAATCTCAATCTTAATCTCAATCTTAATCTCAATCTCCAATGGCCTAGTTTACACCGAACACTTTATACGCGTACTAACTAGAAACTTTCTATTAAATTATCTTAATTTTTACAATGCATTTAAAGAATGATGTACTAAGCTGATACACTATGCTTTAGTATAATTAATTAAATACATATATCAGTTTATATGCATCGTCGAAATTAAAAAAATGTAATAGAAATTTACTATTTAGTACGCGTATCAAATACTCGGTGTAAACTAGGCCAATGCGTAGTCTGGCTTAAGGAAATGGCGTCAATGGCGCCGTCTGACGGCAACTAACGGCAACTACATTGACAGCTATGGCCATCTATTGGTAAATTCCGGTTTCATATTTACATACCTGTCTTTTATTAAAGGAAGTCTAGATATGTTATATCTATGGTTATGTGAATAGTGGCAAAGGTTATGTAGTATGTAAGTAAACAGTTCCTGTGGTTAACAAATTTTTTATTTTCAACAAATGATGAAAAAACGTTGATATTTTATTAAAGTGATATAAGAATTATCACATTTCTTGGAACAGGTAAATTTTTCTCTATTTTGAAATGCTTGCTATGGAAATTTCTTTATTTATTTATTACGTTTACTGGTGCATTTACTACTGTAATAGTCTTGATGTCTCGGCTGCGACGAGGGAGAATGTTTAAAATATAGAAATAACGTATTTGGATCGCATTCTTCGTTCATCGTTGCTGCTGAAATAATATCAAGAAGATGAATTTTGGCGTGGATTGGGATGCTGAACATCGGCGTATTTTGCTGGATGGAAATGCAGCGTTGGAACGTTCGGCGCAGTCGGTCGCAAGATCGCAGGCTGTCGCGGCGGAGAGCGAGCAGATTGGCACAGAAGTGATCTCCGAGTTGGGTGAACAAAGGGACCGTCTCTTGCGAGCGAAGCGGAGACTGTCACAGACAGACGAGGAATTGAATAAAACGAGAAAAATTTTAAATGTTATGCGACTCAAGGTTTTGACGAACAAAATTGTGCTAATCTTGATCATATTACTGGAACTAGTCATCCTCGGTATAATTGTATATTTGAAATTTTTTCATAAATAAACCACCTATCGTTGTTAAGCTTAAAGTCGAGAGGGAATAATATTGTACATAATAAAAAACAATATACATTGATAGTATGTAATTATTGATAGTATGATTAAGCAATTTCTGAAAAATTTAACAAATATATAAACTTTAAAATTAATTTTTGTAAAATTAAATTTTTTCCGGCTGTCGTGATTATTCCATTTTATTGTGTTATTGATATATTTCAAAATATATTGCATTGTAATTGTAAAACTGTAATTGTAAATACAAAATTTTGTTATAAAATTCTATTGATCAGTTGATAGTGAATAGAGTAATGCTGAATTGTTTACTGCTTACTTCATGTACATTTTGTGATACATTCTGTTTTTATTAATTGTGTTATTGATATACTTCAAAATATATTGCATTGTAATTGTAAAACTAAAATTGTAAATACAAAATTTTGTTATAAAATTCTATTGATCAGTTGATAGTGAATAGAGTACATTCTGTTTTTATTAATCTGCCATTGTACACGAACGAAAGGAAAATCCTTAAAATGGTTATTCTACACGATGAAGAATATTATCGAAGTAGAATGCCCGAGCCCGACTTGGGGGCACTTCGAAATTTTTTGCGATTGGTTTGGAATCCAGATAGAAAACAGTTGCTTGGCAGAACTGGAAAAGAATGGGGTAATTATTAAGAGATATATATTTTTTCAATTACTAATTGTTGATTGTGGAATTATCTAATTGTTTATAACGCGAATAGGCTTGTTGGGTCTCTTCTATTTGTGTTTCTTCTTCGTATTGGGTTCCTTGTTCGCGTTGCAAATGTGGATCAGTATTGACTACGCCTCGAAATTAGAAAAACCGTTTTTCCTTTATAGCGGCTTGATGCCTAGATCTTACTTTGCCGACAACTTCCCTCTTTTTCGTCAACTAGATTTTGGTAGTCCAGGTAAATTTTCTTTAATAAATACCAAAACAATGTGCTGTTTCCATTGATGCTAACAGCACATTTAAATATTGTCATATTTTATCTAAACAGGAATTGCCTTCAAACCGAATATTTTGCTACCCACGAAATCTCCTATTATTTGGGTAGATAATTCTAGTGCGAACGCTCGTCCGAAAAGATATGTGCAAGCCTTGAACGACTTTTTGCAAGGTATGAGCACCAAATAAAAACAAATAATACAAACAATTAATAAATTAATAAAATTAGTGCGTGCGTGCGTATGTAATTTTTTGGTTACTAACAAAGAGAGATAACTTATATGAAATGTTGTTAATTTTAATAAACTTGCAAATATGCAGTTGAAATAATAGATCAAAATAGAAGACATTTTTTATGTTTTTACATATATCTATGTACACACTTTTAAAGGATAAAATATTTTTTTGAAAAAAAAATAGATTTTTTAAAAGTAAATATCATCGAAATGATAAAAGATAGAAAAAAATTATTTTAAAAATAAAAAAATGGAATGATTTTAAAAGTACTTTACAAATAATGTTTTAAGATTAAAAAAAATGTTATAATTTTTAATATATACCCATCATTTTTTTAATAAAAAAAATTTTTTTGATTTTTTCGATAAACCAAAGGTAATTTATGCCAAATCTAAACATTTATAGCAAATTTATTCTTAAAATACACATAAAATGTTATTTATCTACAAAAGGAATTGTAGACTATAATTGTATTTTAGAGAAAGAGAAGTTGTAAAAAAGAAGTTTAATGGGAAAATTTATGGCAAAATATTGGCTATCTTAATAAAAACAAGAAAAGAGATTTGGTAATCTACATTTTCATTTTAGAATACAATAGAAGTAAAGAGGATTATAAAACAGATGCGGAATGTAGTAATGGGGGGTCAACTAGATCCAATAAAAAATCTTGTTTTTTCGATATTGAAAGCCTTGGTATTTGTGGACAGCCTCCGTATGGATATACGAATCCATTGCAACCATGTGTTCTCATTAAGTTTAATAAGGTATAATCTCGTTTTTTCGTATTTGCTAAGACCTTTCTATAATAATATATTAATATATTGCTATATTGTTTTACAATAACAAGCGAGTGATTGATTTCAGTTTTTGATTTTTAAAAATTAATATTAAATTTACATTTTTGTTAACTCATTTTTTTTAATTTTTCTAAATTTTAATGAAAAAAAATTTTTATAATTTACATTATATTAGACAAAATTTTTATATTTAAAATATATGAAGATATCTAAAAAAATACTTCTTAAATTTCTTCAGATTTTATTAATTTTCTTTGATAATTATATATGACTTTTTCGAATATCATAACGAGACTAAATCTGAATACTCATAATTTTTTTGGACGCTGAATCCGAATCCGATTATAGAATCGCTCACGTTACAATTTTAAGAAATTTACAGGTAAAGTTGCAAAAAAGAGATGTTTACGTACTTTGTCATATTATAATAACTTCGAAATGTACTAGAGAAATGTTCTTGCAATCAAAATTTAATATGTTGTTAGGACTTTCAATCCTCAAAAGGAATTTTTTGTATCCATTATAGTTAATTAAGTTATTTATTGTTAAACAGATTTATTGCGGAAAAGCGAACTGTGAATTAAATCATTGACAAATAGCTTCCAATTTTGTTTATTTGTTTATAGTCCATTTTCAATCTAAAGCTTACACAAAAAGTAAAACCTATCTGTGAAAACACACACACACACACGCACACGCACACGCACACGCACACGCACACGCACACGCACACGCACACGCACACGCACACGCACACGCACACGCACACGCACACGCACACGCAC